TGTCAAGTTGTTCTCCCTGAAGGCATCAGCCATCCAGAGCAATCAGACTACTGTCTGGTCCACCGTAGGTGGGGTTCACTCTCTGTTGTTAAGGATAGTAATTGTTTCCATGGAGAGCCAGCGAAGTGGTCAAACCAGCTCTATGACTACCAAGGTTAGGCTGCCGTCCTGAATCTAGGATCCGCCCATCTTATCACATGTGTACCCTTAATCCTCCCTCTTCCTGTAGCTTGTACAGCCCTAAATTGTCCCCCTCCCATTACTGTATTATCTATAGTACAACCCCTTCCTGTAACTTAGGTCATTACCTGTAATTAGGGGGCTTGCACACCCCAAAAGATATATAAGCCTAGGTTAGAAACAAGTCACTTTCTCTCTTCTCCCCTCTCCTCCACCAGTGCTGTGCGTGGACCTGGCTGGTAAGATCATGGCCATCCAGGAGGTGAGCATGCTACTATGAAATGTGTATGACTCCTTTATTTTACTTTCTCTTCTATTTCTCTTATTCTCTATGACTTTACTATAATCTTCATATATCATAACTGTACAATTGCGCCTACAGGACCCATGGTAGTGTGAGGGCTGGTTTCCCTCACAACCCTGAAGACAGGAGATGAGCTGAGATTGGGTAACTGACAGGATAGTACCACTCACCCAAGTGGCCTATCCAGCTCTCTGCTCGTTCCATCAGTAGTTACCATTTTAAAACATGTGGGGCTGGTACCACATGGAGACATGGAGACACCAGGCTGGCTCTGGAATGCTGCTTTGGGAGACATCACTTAACTTCTATGAGGTAAGGGAGCACCCATCTAGACAAAGCTAGCCAAAAATGACCCTGTGTGAGTCTGGTGGACTCTGAGTCTCACCTAGTACAATGGTTATAGAACGATTTATAAGTTTACTTGAATGTTCTCAAAACTTACTGTGTCAGTTCCAACTCATAGGTGCGTAGCAAATAGTGTCCCAAACTAAAAAGTAATAAGGAAAGGAAATTGTCTAGAACTCTCTCACTCACTCTCTGCCATTGAGTCGAATCTGACCCCCTAGTGGCCCTGCAGGACAGAGTAGAACGGACCCTGTG